CTCCTTTATTTCTACCAAGGCCAACTTGAGAGGGGCAGAGCATTATCTGGGGCTTACATCAAAGCAAGCAAACCACAAATCACAGTACTGGTCCTGAAGTGGGCATCACAGCAGGCTGCTGTACTCAGCACTAGGGATGCATTAATGAAGCCTTCCACTCTGACTTGCAGTTTTCAGGCCATGAGCTGGTCTGGCTGAATGCTCTGGGCAGGGCCCAACAGCCGCTTGAGGGGAGGGGCCGTGAGGGGGGCGGATCCCAAGCAAACTGCAGCCCTTTCAGTTCGGGCCCGGAGGCTCGGCTTCAGCTGAGGATGACACAGGGAGGCAGAACTGCGGGAAGGGAGGTAGGTATGAGGTGGAGCCTGCAGAACGTGAAGCACGGTGTGGGTGGTGGCTTTGTCTAACTAGACAAGAGTGGGAGCAAGATGGTAAAGGAGCCTTAGCATCCTCCAGAGAAAGAAACCCTCTCCAGGAATACTTCAAAAGGGGTTGTCTCGGTAACCTGTGAAGGACGGAGGAAAAGGGAGGGGGGCGCGGCCATAATTCACTTCCGAGAAGAAACGACTAGATCTTTCCACTGGGTGTTTTTCCTCCTCCCTACCAGTGACCCACCTCCCCATCCCCTATCCAAATTAACCACGAGTGGAGGATGTTTAACTCAGTTTTTCGCCAAAACTGGACTTCTTCACAGCCCTCTTCCAGACTAGAAGCTGCGGACCACACCTTCCCAATCTCAACCCCTACCCAGAACAGTGGGGAGTCGCCCCTAGTCCTCCCACATGAAACTACAAAACCCGGAGAGCCATGCGCAACGTGCAAGACCACCTCCAGGCTTTTTCTGGGTGTCGTCTGGGGGATGTAGTCCGCCGATCAGGTTCTAACTCTATCTTAGAATGGTAACAAGAGACAGGAGCAACTACAATGCCCATAATGCTTCACGAGACCAGGAATGGGCAAAGCTAGAGCTATAGCTTCCGGGAATGGTAGTCACACTACAGCTCCAGATAATGAAAAGCAAAAGCAGAGAGTCGCGGGGAAAACTACAACTCCCAGGGTGCATCGCAAGGAGGCGGTAGCCCAAGGCTTGCAGGCCCGGCCGAATGACCATGGCGATGGAAGGAAGTCGTGGTCGCCGCGGGCATGGGGAATGCGCTTACCGGCGTGTCGAAGGAAAATGCGCACTCGTCTTTGTGGACCCGGTCTCCCGCCTTGGGGACACGGATAGTCGGTAACACTGACAGCAGCGCCTCCTCACTCAGCTCCGCCATGACACCGGCAGCAGCTCCTCCTCACACGGCAGCTCCCACTGTCCCAAGTCCCTCCCCACTTCTGCTCTCGCGTCCAATGAACGCGACTCGCTAGGCGCATGCGCTGAAGGCAAACCGCGCGAGAACGGCAGTTGGCCTCAGCCTGCCGCCTGGTGCTTCGCCCTCCGCCCCACTCTTAGCGAACGCCAATGAAAACCTCTCCTGGCACAACTGATGGCCGAAAGGGCCAATCGCGCTCTTCCAGGGCGGGCGCGCGTGTGGAGCCGCGGGGAGGGCGTGCAGTTGCGGCTCTGATTCAAGGACTCGAGAATAGGGCTTTATGTAAAAAGCAGAAACTGTGGGCTGTTTAACCCCATGGATTACTGAAATTTTGTCAGGGACTCGTCCAACCGGAAAACAAACGGGCACTTGTCTTCTGGGTATTTGAAAAGCAGTAACCAATGAGTCAGACTTTGAGAGATGTGAGTGATAACTTCGTCAACCAATAAGGATTGCTGTCTCGCTTTAGGCAAACCATCCTAACTCGGCCTCCAGCCAGTTCTGCGCGAACGGCAGAATAACTCGCTCTCCCTATTTTGTTTAATAAAAGCGAAAAGCTGAGAAACACCCAGAGTCTCCCGCCTACTGCTGACGGGCGGATACGGAACAAAAGAGCCCCTCGGCTCACCGAGATACAAGCTAGTCCTCACCCCATTGGCCAGCCCTCGTGATAGACATCCTCCAGACCAATGGCCTTCAGGTCTGGAGGGCGCGTTTCCCACAACTGGCCTATGAAAGTCTGCCTCGGCCTAGCCAATAGGGTCAGGGCAGGGGGCGTGGCGGGAAGTTTGAAACGCCTGGCTTTGGGAGTTGTATTTCAAGCTGGTAGTGTTCGCCCCGAGGTCGAGCTGGGGCCCGGTAAGTGATGCTAATTAGTGCCTAAATCGAGGCTCCAGCAGATCTGAATGCGCCGTTAGACAACTCCACTCATTGTCCCCTCAGAGGTTTCTGGGCCAGCGACCCTGAGGTTCCTCTGCTGGAAACTGGGACGATCGGGTGAATCTGGGGTCAGAGGTCCGCCACGGTGGCGGTAAACTGAGTCGCTCCTGACGGGCGTCCCTTCCTCTGTCTGCACAGCCGGGCCTCGTCCCCACCGCTCGTGGAGATGGGCTCTACTCAGAGCATCTCAGGCACTCCAGCGCGGCCTCTGCCACACAACAAGCATCTGGCTCGGGTAGCAGACCCTCGTTCACCTAGCGCCGGCATCCAGCGCACTCCTATTCAGGTACGCTGGGCTGGGGTGGAGAATGCAGAGAAGCTGTCTTGATTCGTGGGCCTCTGTCTAGCTTGTTTCTGTGAGTCCTCATCCCCCTGCCACTGGAACCTTAGTTTCTTCACCTGCCCTTCTTTTATTATTTATTTTTTGAGGTTCTGATATAATCTCATCATTTCTGTCTTCCCTTTTCTCCTTCCAAACCCTTCCTTGCTGTCCTTCAAATTTATGGTCTCTTTTTCATTTACTGACTTTCTGGGGTTTGTTGTTTGTTTGTTTTTGTTTTTGAGACTGGGTCTCACTGTGAAGCCCTGACTGGCCTGGAACTCACCATGCACACCAGGCTGGTCTCGTACTCAGAGACTGACCTGCCCCTGCCTCCCAATCCCTGGGATGAAAGGTGTGTGCCACTACCGTGTCTGGCAACTTTCTGCTTTTTTTAATCTGCATATCCATGGGCATTAGCAGTTCTGTCTGGGAATATGGGGAGGAGATAAAGTTCTGGGCCCAGGCTTGTTCTACCTTATGGTATTGACAGGTAGAGAGCTCCCCGCAGCCAAGTCTGCCAACAGACCAGCTGAACAGTCCTAAACAAGCCCAGGACCCAGACCCCCGCTCTCCTACTCTTGGCATTGCACGGACACCCATGAAGATCGGTGCTGCAGGTGAGTGACGGACTGGGGGGGGGGGGAGGTACTGCTGAAACTGACACCTATCTAGGGTGCCGGCAAGACCATTTTCGTTTTACTGGTTTTTGTTATTTGCTTCTTTTTGTAACTCTGAGTTTTGAGCCAAAGGTCTTGAACATGCCAGGAGCTCCAGCCTCCTGTTGGACTCCTCACTTAATTTTATTTTTTTTAACATTTACGTGTATGGACAGACACCTGACACAGTTCATGTGTGAAGGTCAGAGGGCAACTTAAGGGGATCCTGTTTTTAACCCTTGAGACAGGGTTTCTCTGCGAAACAGCCCTGGTTGTCCTGGAACATGCTTTGTAGACGAGACTGGCCTTGAACTCACATTCACGGAGTGTGCCTCTCCCTCCCAAGTGCTGGGATCAAAGGCGTGTGCCACCACCACCTGACTTTTTTTTTTAAGACAAGGTCTCACACTGTAGCCCAGGCTGCTCCGGAAGTAAGGCAGTCCTGCTTTAGCATGAGTGCTAGAATCACAGGCCTGTGCTGCCGTGCCCAGCTCCCCTAGCCCACTTGGGCCGAACCCCAGCCCTCCTTCTGTGTTCACACTTTACCTCTGAGCCCCACCCCAGCTCCGTCTCAGTCTTCTCCATAGCTTGTTTTCTCCTGCCTTGACTTTGTTCTTCCCACTCCCTCCCCAATCTGAGCAGACATCCCATTCTCCTCTCTCTTTTCCTCCTTGGTTTGTCTCAGAAGGCTATAGCTTGTTTCCTTTCTTCCCTCTAGACCCTCAGAGTCCCCTGGTGAGAGAACTGAGTGAAGTGTTTGAGGCCGAAGCTTCCAAATCCATCTCCCCCGCAGAGCTAGCTCTGCCCCAGCAAACACCTTTATCTCCTCCTGAACTGGACCTGCCTTTGGAGACTCAGTTATCCCTAGAGGACCAGTTGCTGCCTTGGAGCCAGACTGACCTCCCCTCCAAACAGGTGTTTACCAAGGAGGAAGCTAAACAATCCACAGAAACCATAATTGCCTGCCAGAACTCAGACAAGCCCTCAAGAGATCCCGAGACTCCCCAGTCTTCAGGTACAAAATTGAAGAGCAGGATGGAGGGGAAAGAAGCTAGAATCACATCCTGGGATAGTATAGGAAGAATAGCTAAGCCCAATTTCTGAGTCCTTACTTGGATTAAACCTTTCTTCTAGGTTCTAAGCGCAGTAGACGGAAAGCAAACAGCAAGGTGCTAGGGAGATCCCCTCTCACCGTCCTGCAGGATGACAACTCCCCTGGGACCTTGACATTGCGACAGGTAAAGGAAGAGGGTGAAAACTGTCACTGAGTATCCATCATTGTAGTCGGAGCCCTCGCCTCACTCTCCCCTCTCCCTCATGTCCCCTGGCCCTTGGCTCACATACCGCCTTTTGCAGGGTAAACGACCTTCTCCACTAAGTGAGAATGGTAAGGACCTAAAGGAAGGAGTCATCCTTGGAACTGGAAGATTCCTGAAAACTGGAGGAGCATGGGAGCAAAGCCAGGACCATGACAAGGAAAATCAGCATTTTGCTTTAATGGAGAGCTAGGTCCATGCTGGATTCACCCAGCATGGTGATAATCTCTTCCCCAAGAGCACTGAGGAAAGTCTGGCTCCTCCCAGGCTACCACCTCTGATACTTGGACTTTGTTTTGTTTTGTGTGTTTCTTTCATATTAAAGGAGATGGTTTTAAATGATGCTTTAGGAAGTTAGACAAAGCTGCATTGGGTCTTCTGTGTGTACAATGGTAGCCGGGGGGTCTATGAGCCCTGGATATATATCTCTCCTGCCACATCTAAGCCTTTTTTCTATGCCTTAAGTTTTGATGTTCTCCAAGGCTCTGCCCTTGGCGCCTCTCTCCTCTTCCCCTTTTGTTGGGGCTTAGCTATTACTTACTTGCTTCTGGTAATTTTCAGACTTTTATTCAGCTGCCACATAAGCACTCAGCGTTAGTTCCCTTAAAATAAAGTTTATGATCTTTTTTTCCCTAAAGCTATTCCTCATTGCCTATTCCCCATCCTCGTGGATAGGGAAGACCCTCACCCACCTATCTGCCTGGACATTAGTCTTGGCCTTGGTTATCATACTGAATTCTTCTGTTCAGAATGGCATATCTGTGAGTATGACCACAAGATCTTGGTGACTCCATGTTTCTGATCTCTTCTCCTGTCTTGTCAGTGTGTGTATGTGTGTGTGTTGCTGGAGGTTGACCCGGAGTTTTGCTCATGTTAGACAAATAACTCTGTTAGTGAGCTTCACACTCAGCCCCAGTTCTGTCATCCTAGCATTTCTTGCCACCTGCTTCATGTTTCTAGAGGGCCAGTCTTTCCATTTTACCACCCTAAACTGTTGGAAGAGCAGTTTTCCTGACAAGCTTAAAGATCGTGGTAATACCCCACTTGAAACTCTTTAGTGGCCTCCAAGGCCCTTTATCATCCAGCTCCTATGCAGGCATGCACACATGATTGTAGTCTGGAGCAAGCTGTCGTGTGCCTCCCCAAGAAACCTCAGCTTCTGCCTTGATCCTTCTTCCTGCCCACAGTCTACCTAGTACTTAGCCTTTATCCTAGCACCTGTAATATCTTGTTGTCCGTTAACAGGACCTCGGTCTTCTTGTAGCATAAAGGGGTGGAAGCTAGCAACACAGGATGCTACGTTTTATTAGCTAATAATAAAGGGGGAAAGGTAGAAAAGGAGAAAGTATGAAAGGGCCAGGGGACTAGCAGTGACACCCACAGTCGTGAGCTGAGCACCCTGACCGTTCCAGGTCTGGACAAAGGCTATGGGTAGCTCAAGAGGACCCTAGAGGCTGAGAGGGTCTGTTCCTGTTTATTAAGGGAGAAGCTGTGAGGGCTCTGAATAGGGGAGGCCATGGGCGGAAATGGGGCAGTTCTTTGCCCTTGTGTCCCTGATGCTTCCAAAGGCACACTCCCATAATCCCTACTGCTCTCAAAAGAAAGTTTACTGGGAATGGCCCCTGGGATATAGAAGACTGACCCTAAAGAGATGAATATAGGAGGAAGCAGCTGAGAATCTTCATGGCTTCCACCTCTCTTCTTCTAGCCTCCTTAGTTCCAGATTTTGAGGAAGCTGTCCCAGGACCCAGTGGCCACAGCCATACCATCAGCTGTGACCCCCAGGCAGCTGACTCTGTTGTCATGGCCAGAGAGTACGCCTGAGGAAGAGAGGAAAAGTCGGTCTGCTTTCCCAGGTGTGTAAGGGCCCCTGATGTGCAGAAGCTCCAGCCCGGGGAGGCTCCGCCCTGATGGAGACTAAGGGACTGAAGGAGGATTAGCCCGAGCCGAGGGATTTCTTGTCAGGCCAGTTCCTTTGTCCAGAGCTCGAGTCTCTGGTAGGGCAAGGGTAAATTGGTTAGTAATGTCAGTAAGCTGTGAGGAAGGACAGGGTTACTTTGATAGATCCAAGGAAGGGGTTCTTTGTTTGTAGGTTCTTTGTTTGTTTTTAAGAAAAAGACAAGGCAAGGCCCAGAAAAGTGACATGTGTAGGTAAACTCGGAAAGTAATCAACTGAATAGGATTTGGGGTCTGATTCTGAGGTACGTGTTGTTTTCCTTCAGCTCTTGGTCGCTCCTGATAGAAGCCAGGCTGTCTTTCACTCGAGACTGTGCCAGTCCTAGACAAGCCCCTAGGCTAGGCCCAGGACCTTTGGTTTACTCTTATTCACACTTCCCCGAGGCTGTCCCTTAAATCTCAGGTACACAAAGGACTGGCATTTGAGATACACTGGTCTGGGGTGACCAGAAGGAGCAGGCACGACACGAGGCAGAAGGGCTGCTTAGAGCACTTTCTGTTTGGGGAATCTCGATTTAGTTTCTGAAGCAAACGGTGTTGGTTTCCAAGGCTCAAGTTAGGCAACAATTGGGAAACAGCGGTAAGAGGGTCCCCTTAAAGAAACTGGGAGGAAAGGCGGGAGGGCTGGAATGTCTGGGGCAGACCCTTACCTACACGCTCGCACTTCAAAGAGTCCCAGACATTGCAGTTGAAGTCATCGTAGCCTGCGAAGAGTAGGCGACCACTGAGCGAGAAGGCTACTGATGTGATGCCGCAGATGATGCTCTCATGGGAGTAGGCGGTCAATTCTTGGTCTGCCCTCAGGTCAAACAGACGGCAGGAAGCGTCGTCTGAGCCAGTGCAGATGGCCTCTCCATTGGGAAAGAACTGAGAATACAGATAAGCAGTGGTCAGCGCTCAGACCTGGGGCAACCTCACCTTTCTGCCTGGTTCCTGGTTCCCATGGGGCATGGAAGCCGCTTGACTCAGTCTCTCTGCCTGTCTCCTTGGTAGGGTGAGGTGGCCAGCTGCAGCACAGCTGTTCACTGCTGTGTTCTTGTGGCCCCCTCTGCCCTGACTGCAGCAGTGCACCAGGGGTTCCCAGGGTCACATGATTGAAATTCTGCATAGAAAAACCTTGCAGTGAGGACATTTATGAGATAACAGTTATATTTGAGTGTGAGCTGCAATATTCTGTAAATATTGAATTTCTTGGTTCTTACAAATTATACTGGGGCTGGAGTTAAGATCGGTGGTTGCTCTTGCAAAAGATCCAGATTCAGTTCCCGGCACCCGTATGGTGGCTCACAACCACCTGTGACTCCAGTTCCAGAGGACCTGACACCTTACCTCCACAGGTGTCAGGCGTGTACTTGGTGTACAGGCATACACGCAGGCAAAACACTCATACACATAAAACTTATACTGTAGATGGGAATGGCCACTTACCTGTAATCCTAGCACTTGGGAGGCTGAGGCAGGAGAATTGCCTCAAGTTTAAAGCTAGCCTTCCAGGGTGAGAAAGTGGGCTCCAGTAAAGCATGGTCAACTCTGCGATTGTCTCAAAAGATGAGGACTAGAGATACAGCTCTAGCTTAACCTGGGTTCATTCTCTATCTTGACAAAAATAAAATGTATAAACTGGGCGGTGGTGGCACAGGCCTTTAAGCCCAGCACTTGGGAGACACAGGCAGGCAGATCTCTGTGAGTTCCAGGGCAGCCTGGTCTACAGAGTGAGTTTCAGGATAGCCAGAGCTACACAGAGAGACACTGTCTCAAAAACCAAAACAAAAAAGTATGGAAAATAAAGTAATAGGGTTAATAACTGGGGGTGGCCATATGACTCCGTAGGGAAAAGGACTTGCTATACAAGCTTGATGACCTGAGGTTGATCCCCAGAAGAGATCAGACTCCTAAAATCTGTTTTCTGACTAGTCACACACTCAATAATTTTAGAAAAATTAAAAATTGGTCATGGCTGACATCTAGAATGTGAGGCCAGCCTGGTCTACATAGCAAATTCCAGCCAGAGCTATATAGTGAGACCTTGTCTTAGGGGAGGTTTTTTTTAAAATGTTTTCTTAAATGTTATTATTTATTATGTATACAGTATTCTGCCTTCATGTACACCTGCAGGCAAGAAGAGGGCATCAGATCTCATTACAGATGGTTGTGAGCCACCATGTGGTTGCTGAGAATTGAACTCAGGACCTTTGGAAGAGCAGTCAGTGCTCTTAACTTCTGAGCCAACTCTCCAGCCTGAGATTTTTTTTTTTTTAACTTATGATTTAGGACTGGAAAGATGGCTTAACAGTTAAGAGCATTTGCTCTCGCAGAGGACCCAAGTTCAGCTGGATCCCAGCACCCACCTGCATGACAGCTCATAACTGTGATTCCAACAGTTCCAGAGGATCTAACACCCTCCTCTGCCCTCCAAGAAGCATTTGAGAGGCACAGAGCCATGATATGAGTAATCTATTCTCAAAGGACCCAGGAATGAGGACCTGGGGTGTAGCTTGCTGGTAGGGCACTTGTCTTGGATGTGAAAAGCTCTGAGTTGCGTCTCCAGTGCTACACGCCAGACAGAGAACGGGAGGAGCTAAGTGCATGTGTGAGGGTGTGTGCTGGTATGTCTAGAGACAATCGTAAAGAATGTGTGGCAAAGTGGTACCAGTGAATCAGGGTGAAGCAGACTTGGGATTTCTTGTCATTGGTTTTCAAACTATCCTATAAAGGTAAGATTATTTTTAGAAATAATAAGGAAAGGGCTTCAAGGTCGTGTGGAAGTTGATCAGAGATGTATCCGGGGGTTTAAGGTAGCTAGTTCCTCAAGGGCACACATGAAGGGACACTCACACAGATAGCATTGATGTCGGATTCGTGGCCAGTGAAAGTCTGGCGGCAGGTCCCTTCCCTCACATCCCAGAGCTTTGCGCTGGCATCACAAGCGCCCGAAATGAAGAGTTTGTAGTCTGGAGACACAGCCAGGCTCATGCAGTCACCAGTGTGTCCCACAAACACCGTCTTCTGCTGCCCCGTCTCAATGTCCCACAAGGCACTGTCAGGAGGAAAGGAGCCCATCACAAAGAAATGTCACAGTTGCCCAGCACAGAACGACCTTCCAGTCCTCAGCACCCATGGCATTCAACCCTTACCACGTGGTGTCCCCAGAGCTGGTCACAATGTTGTTGTCATCCAGGAAGCGGCAACAGGAGAGATAACCTGGAGGTGGTTAGAAGGGCAGGGCCCTGGCTCAGGGTCTCAGCTGGACAGGGGCCTGGATTTCCGTGACCCCTACACAGGAAAAGAGGTCTTCTCACCTGTGTGGGCAGAGAGTTCCCGGCTGACCTTAACATTGCCCTCACGGGATTTGAGGCTGTAGATGGAACACATGTTGTCCAGACCCCCACACGCCACAAAGTTCCCTGATGGTGCGTAGGCACAGGTCATGACCCAGGAGGAACGCAGGGGAATGGCATGCACCTGCGGAGAGGGTAGATTTGGGGCGGGCGGGACCTGAGCTTCAGGAAACGGCACAGAGATTAGGCATGCAACCCTAGGAAGGATGGAGGGTCCTTCCTTGAAGGTGGTCAGTAGGAAGGGCTGGTACCTTGTTAGTGGTGTAAGTGTCCCACACGATCAGCTTCCCGTCCTGCGAGGCACTTACCAGCAGCCTGGAGAAAGGGCACCTGTGTCATCCCTACCTCTTCTCCCTGCCCCACCCCCTCCATTTTAGACAGCTCTGGATCCTCACTTAGAGTCAGTGGCCCAGTGCATGGCATAGATCTTGGCCAGGTGTCCCCTTAATGTCCTCCGTGTCCGCATCTGGACTCGTCCCACCACCTCTAGGCCAGACACAAGCTGCAGAGAAAGGGGTATTGGGTTTCACATGTCTGCCGCAGCCCCTGCTGGGGACCAGAAACAGCTCAAGAGGTCCCCAGCCTGGAGCGACCGGGCCTCCTGTGGTAGACAGGTGCTGGGATAGCTTCTGGCAAGTTGTTCAATGGTAGAGGTAAGTGTTTAGCACTGTGTCTCCAGACTGAAGAGTGGTAGGGAGATATTCCCACCTAGATCAAGCTCAAGTTGCTGGTATGAGGTCACTGAACATTAGCTTGAGACACACAGGTGATACCAGACTGACAGGTGCCTGTCTTCACACACCAGTGGCACCCAGCCAGCACTCATGGGTTCTGAGGTATTGCCCTCACCAGGAACTGCCCCTGTTGAACTCCACCCCTCCAACCACAACCAGCCTCCCAGTTGCTGAGCTGCCAGGGTCCACAGAGGTGGTCTATCATAGTTTGTCAACTTCGGCAAATCACATCTTCCCTTGAGCCTATTATCTTACAGAGTTGCCATGGGAATCGTACAGAATTATGTATTTAAGCATCTAACACAGTGCTTTTCTCATGATGTTTACTCTTACGAACATATTTAATACAATCGATTCTACGTTCTTTCTTCCCCCTCAGTACCCGGGGATTGAACCTAGGGTCTCAGGTATGCTGGCTTAGGAGTCTACCACTGACATACATCCCCAGACCCTTTTACTTGTTTCTTTTTTAATACACTATTTCTATTAACTATTTGATAATTTCATGCATGCACACAATGCATCTTGATCATATTCACCCCTACTTCTAGCTTCTCCCAGATCCACCCTTCACCTCCTACCCCCACCCAACTTCATGTCTTCTTTTTAATTTTTTTTTCCTAGCTTAACTTTTTACTTTTTATTTTGAGACAGGCTGGCTTTAAAACCACTCTGCAGCCCAGGCAAGTCTTGAATTTTCAGTCCTGCCGCAGCCTTCCATGTGGCTGGATTCCAAGCCTGTGCCACCTAGCAAGGCTTGATACTTACTGTCAGTTCTAAAAAACAGTATTATTTTGTGTGTCACCAAGAAAGAAACACTAGGCTAACAAAGTATTATGTATTGTCAAATGCATCTCAATTTTAGAGAAATCTGTGAAGAAGCAAACATCTTAGAACTGATGAGATGCAGTCTTAGACAACTGTCAATTCGAGCCTATGAGAAGTCCTGCTTGCTCCCTCCCATCCTTACTGTTTAAGGATGAAGGGGACAAGACCAGTGTCTGTGTCTTCAGCATCCAAATGCCTGACCCAGAGCAGATCTTAATAGATGTTTGTTAAATTAATACATGAGTGTCTTTCCTCACTCCAAGGACAGGATGTGCCAAAAGCTGAGGCAACAGTATGTCACTGGTCAGGAAGCTCTTCCCTCCTCTCCCTCCCCTTCCCTCCCCTCACGTCCTGCCTCAGAAGGGTGAAAGTCTCACCTCAGCTAGGGTGGTGTCCGCACAGGCTTTCCTGGCATCCTGCAGGGAAAGCAGGCATCAGGGAGGCTGTGGTAGGATAGGGGGCATGCACATGCACCTCACACATGGGTGGACACGGGGCTTTGCAGTTGGGTGGTGGTCTCAAATGTGAGCTTCAAATTTAAAGTCTCTGAATCCTTGTAGGTCAGAGGTCTCTAAAGTGTCACCCAAGAGTGACCCAGTCCCCCAGCCCCTCCCAGGCCACACTCCCTCATGTCCTGAGCTCTGTTTGCCAGGGTCCCCAGGACGAGGGCTCTGGGGTTACAGCAATCTGCTTCTTGAGCTGCTCCGCTTCCTGCCTCAGCTGCTCCATCTCCCCCATGGTGCACAGATCGAGGGGCGGTTCTGGCTCCTGCCAGGAACATGGAATAGGTGTTGAGGAGTCCCCATCGGACCGTGTTTCTGTCCTTTACATCCAACCCATTCCTGAGAAGTGATGGGGGGCTTCCCCTCCTCCTGGGTTAGGTCCCGTACATCAGTCCCAGACCTGCCTGAGCCCTCCCAGTGGGCCCCCAATCCCAGAGGGCAGAGCCTGCCAGCTCCCTCTTACTTGGGCTGTGGCTGGACTTCTCCCAGGTTTCTGTTTCCCAGGCGCCTCCTGAGTCTCTCAGCTGCGATGCCTGCCTGTCACCTGCCCCCCTCTGCTGCCAGAGGAGCTGGCCTGGCCTGGCCCCGACTGGGAGGGGGAAACTGACAGGGAAGGGTAAGGCCAACGACAACCACGACAACCACGTCAGGCAAATGAAATCAGCTGGCAGGGGTGGGGGAGAGGCCAGGGAGGGAGGCGGATGGCTTCCAGAGACTTGGGCCAACCTGGAGGGGTGAGGAGCAGGTCTTTGAGCCAGAGAAGAGCACGCCCCCATCCAGCCACAAGAAGGGGGGAATAAAGGGGTGCCTCCATGGTCAGTCTGCCGGCAGAGATAAGAGCATCAGGCCCACGGATCAGAGAAAAGCTGTGAGGATTACTGGTTGGGTTTGGGGAGAACAGAACAAGAGCAGCCACAGCTCCAGGGGCCCCAGGCCCTAGCCCTAACTTGTGGTCATGATCTTGGCAGTGCAAGCCTGTTCAGCAAGCAGGCTAGGAGCCAGGACAGAAAGGTGATAGATGACCCTGTTGTCAACACCCCAAACCATGTTCCCTCATGAGGACTGTGGGGGAAGAGGGTACAGGCAGAAGCTGAGATTAGAAGGGGCTGATCTGGATAATCCTTTTTCTAGACAAGCCCCAGCCAGCTGCCCCTGGGCCTGATTCTAGCCGGGGGAGCTGACAGGAGATTCAGGGGGATTCTGGGTCGATGTGCCCCTGCCTTCCGGGCAAAGAAAGGACTATAAAGAGAAGGGAACCCTGTAGGATGGGGGTCTGTCTTCATGTTTGCCCACATGACTCCTGGGGTCTTGCTGGACTGTGAAGGTCGGAGCTGAGGAATAAGGCTACCCTCTCACCCTTACTCAGGGAGAGATAACAGGGCTTAACCGTGGAGCCCAAGGAGCAGCTGTGGTGGTGGTGATGGGGCACATGGGTCCATTTGCATGAGGCAGCAGGTGGCTGAGATTTCCCTGACAAATCTCAGGCTCTCATGGCTCCGCCTCTGGGAGGCCCAAAGACACCACCTGTCTCCTCCCAGGCCAGCCCTGACCACCCCCACCTCCAGCAACTAGAGAAGCTGGGATACGCCAGACCAGGCCCTGGCTGGGGAATTATTCATGTTCTTTATTGCACAGGTTGGGAGAGGCTGGGATAGTCTCTTCCTGTGTCTCCCGTATTAGACGCAGTTAGCCTTCAATCCTTGCCATGCCTTTCAGGGAGGCATAATGATCTTAGTTTGTCCTCAGATGGGGCCAGACCTGGCTTCGAGGCCTGGTGGGCTCTAGGCTAAGTCTGTGTAGTAAGTTTGTGAGCCCAGGGCTTAGTGGCCCTCATAGGTCCCCAGGATGGTTGACTGAAGAGACAGGGCCTTCTGCGCCGTCCCTGTTGTCACACAGGGCCTGCTGCGCTGTCCTTGATGTCACACGGGGCCTTCTCATCGGTTTGCTCACAAGTTGAAGCTGACTCAGCAATCAGAGTTCCTCTCGGACCCTGAGTAGCTTCCCGGCTTTGTCTTGGACCCGCTGAAGCTTATGACTTGGGGGTTCTGGGGAAAGATCTCTACTGAGAATTTCTTCCTCTTCCTCCTCTTCCTCCTCTTCTTCTTCCTCCTGCAGCAGCTCTTTGGCTTCTGTCCACTCCTGGGGTGGATAAAACTGGTTCAGTCCTTTGCGGCCACCTTCCCTGGGTCATCTCAGCCACCCAACGGCTTCACTGTGAGCCCCACTCCTGCACAGACTCCTGTAGTGACCTTCCACCCACCCGCCCCTTCACATCTTCCTACCCCCTCACCTCCTTACCTGTTCCCTGTGCTCAGGCGCCCACGTGTGCCACAGTGCTAGGGCACAGCGCCGTCCCCGCGTCACAGCCCACACACCATGGGGATTCTCACCACCAGAGCTGAAGGCCACGAGGCGCCCACATCGAGGGCGAACCTGAGCCTGAGGAGTTGGGGGGACACAGCCTCAGACTTCGTGTCTGTTACTCCTCACACCCTCATTCAGGGACTGGCTTGGGGCAAATGAGAAACTGGCTTTGACTCAGGAAGGAAAAATGCAAGACTGGGGCTGGAGGAGACTGAAGCCAAAGGGGGCAGGTGCCTCCTGGGGTTCTCTGTCCTGGAGCCCCCCGACCTCTCCTGCCTAACCCCATGAGCCTGGAGTGAAGCAATCCGAGGGCCCCGGAGCAGCCCCAGATGGAAGGGGACGAGGATCTTAGATGCAGTTCCACCTGGGAAATCCTAGACTGTACATAAGTGTAGGCGATTGCTCCACTGTGCCTATGCCTCTAGGATGAAGAGCACGGCAGAATGCCTCTTTGTAGCACAGTCCGGCCTAGCTCCCTAACGATCAGATTACAGTGTATATCTGCCATGCCTGCCCCTCTTCTTCCCACTTCTAGGCCCAGGTATAGAAGTCACCACACTCAAGGACTAGGGCAATGGCAACACCTAGCATTCATTAGTTGTTTATTAATACAAGGCACTGGCTCATTTTTTAAAGCATATAATATAAATTACTTTTTATAGGGTCAGAGAAACGGTTCAGGGTATAAAGGTGCTTGCCACCAAGCCCAACAACCTGAGCACATATGTTCACACGTGTGAACACACATGGTGAACACACATGTGTGAACATACATGGTGGAAGGAGAGAACCAACTCCTACAAGTTGCCCTCTGTTCTCTACACACGAGCTGTGTGTGGCACATGCACCCTCCCCTCCACCCACCCCTTGCACATTCATTCACACACAGATGCACACATAAAATAGTTTTTTAAAAATTACTTCTCATAGTGCTGGAAAGATGGCTCAGTGGGTAAAGTGCTTGCTGTGTAAGTAAAAGGATTTGAGTTTGGGTCCCCAGTGCCCACACAAAAGCCAAATGAAGGACTGGAGTTGAATCCCAGTGCCCCACACCCAGATGTGAGGGAGAGGCAGGAGGTAAGGGTGACGCCTGAAGTTGCGTTCTGATCTCCACATGTGCACCGTGGCAGGTGCACACACCTGCACTCCACATAGTATGTGTGTGCAAAGCCAGGCAAAGTGGCACATGCCTTTATCCCAACACTGGTTCAAAGCCAGCCTGGTCTACATGTGAGTTCCAGGCCAGCTAGGGCTAGACCATGAGTTCTTATCTCCAAAAATAAAAGTCAACTACTTGGGGTGGTGCATGCTGAGATTATATCTCAGCACCCAGAAGGCCATGACAGGAGAATTGCTTTAAGTTCAGGAGCAGCCAGGGCTAGCAGCATAGTCAATTCAAGGCTAATCTGGGCTATGTAGCAAGCCCCTGTTTATAATAATGATAATAATAGGAATAATGTGATAAGGATCGGTACTATTACTATCACCCTTAGTTAGGAAAGGGAATTTCAAAAGTGTTAAGAACCCCAACATGAAGTCTAGGCTAATGGACCTGTCTGTCCCTGTGCTAGCCTGTGCTACTAGCTAGCTCCATTGCTGCCTAGCCATGAGGGAGGAAGGGCTAAGTCCTCAGACCCCTAGAATAGGGACACAGGACTCATTCACCCTTGGTTTTATTCTTTAATATATTTTATAATTGTACTTTATGTGCATGCTCGTCTCCATGTGCACGTCTGTACCTGGTGCCTATAGAGGCCAGAGAGGAAGTTAGATGCCTAAGACTGGAGTTAGAGGTGGTTGTGAGCCACCATGTGGATGCTGGGAACCACACCAGGTCCTCTGGAAGAGCAGCCCAGTGCTCTTAACCCCTGAGCCCTCTCTCCAGCCCTTCCTTGCTCTGTTTTTGTTCTAAGTCTTTATTACGTTTATTGGAGGAGGGGGTAAATGGTGCAGCATACTGTGGAGGTCAGAGGGCAACGCGTGGAAGCTGGTTCTCCTTCCACCATGTCAGTTCTAGAGAGCAAACTCCAGCTGTCAGGCTCAGGGGTGAGAAACTTCACCCACTGTGCCACCTCGCTGGCCCCTGATTGGTTTGTTTGTTTGTTTGTTTGCTTGTTTTTTACAAGGTATCTTGATAAATTGTCCAGGTTGGCCTTGAAGTCCTGGATTTAAGCAAACCTCCAACCTCAGCTTCCTCAACAGCTGGGACTACAAGTGTGTATCCTGTGCTTGGCTATGCTCAGACACCCTGAGGAGGCAAGGCCAACCTGATGATGGGGTGGGGGACCATTTAGAGATCTCCTGCAAGGCTCAATAAACGTCTGCAGAAAACCTTGAATGTGGTCCAGTGACCAGCAGGACTAGAGAGGCAGGAGGGGACAGGGTTAAGGTGGCCCCATCCATTTCCCTGCATTTGCCTCTGAGAGCTTCTGTTTTGAATCCTGACCCCACAGCTGGGCCCTCTGCCCCAACCCCCTACCGTGACAGTGAGGGCGTTGGGCTGTGTGAAGAATAGGTCGCCTCCCTTGAAGTCATCATTGAGGTAGAGGAGCCCACTGGAAAGCAGAGAAGACAGGAGGCAATGAGAGCCCCACCCAGACCCAAGACAGCCTTTGGGCCTTGTGTGCCTACCTGCCAGTCCCCAGAGAGGCTACCCACCTATAGTCTCGATAGGTGTAGGCTGGGGGCTCCCGCCAGCATTCACCAGTGTCAGGGTCCAGGACACAGTTGTCTGCGTGGACCGGGTGACTCAGGTCCATGCGCTGCTCTTGCTCACCTAGGATGTAACCCATCTAGTGACTAAATGGGCCTCCTGGTGGGTCCGTGCCCGGAGCTTCTGGGGTGACAAACAGAGAAGCTCCCCGTCCCCAGTTAGGCCAGCAGGGGGCTTTCTGCAGTAATGACGGAACCCATACAGATGGGGTTCCCTGGTGGTTACCTTCTATGGCAGTTCTGCACACCAGGTGGGTGAAGGAAAGATGCAGTGGCCGCTCCGGGGAGAAGTAAGCCTGAGTCAAGGCCCGCACTCGTTCGCTCACCTCCAGAAGCAGCTTAGCACCCGGCCTGCCCACAGTCCCAGCCCGGGCCAGCTGCAGGCAGGGAGAGGTGGGAAAAGCAGGTCTAGCGTTAGCGCCTGTGTCTCTGACACTACCATCCTATTGTGTGTCCGGTAGCCCAAACGTCTCCTTCCAGCAAACCCATGACAACACCAGGGCCCCAGGTCACCGAATACACCCTTTCTCAACGATGGACCAAGCATGCAGTGATCTAGGTCCCCAGAGAATTCCTCCACAGACACCCAGGCCTGATATTCAGCCTCCTGACACAGCCCCTCTTCCCAAGTCCTGGGCGTCAGACCAGGCCAGAGTGCCTGCTCTTTCTTACCTGAGCAGCCTTGAGCACCGTGAGCCCCTCAAAGCGTTCGTGAGGGCTATGAGGGGAGCGGCGACCACGATAGCCAGACCTGGCTCCAGCCTCAGCTGCATCCTATATGGGAAGGTTTCCCGTGAAGCATTCTTGGCATACCTCGCTGCCACAGGGCTCCCAGGCTCTCCTTCAGGCCTTCTCAGTCCCCAGAACTGACTAGGAACTTCCAGAATTCCCTTGTGACTTTTTCCTGAACTATGGCCCTTTCCCAGAAAATGGCACTTGGCCTGGTTTTCTGGACTGTCATTCTCAAAAAAGCCCTGGAGTGCTACTTCCCAAGGGGACTATGTGGACATTACCCTGGAGAGCACCCCACAGTGGGGAAGAAGGGACCTTGAGATGGTAAGAGTGGCTGAAGGAGAGACAGAGCTGGGGTCCAGGGAAGGAAGTACTGGGTCACCCTTTCCTAGGGAGGTGGGAGTCCTTCTGCAAGCAGGACCCTAACAGGAAGTCTGACAGGCCAGTAATTTATTTATTTTGGAGAACCTCTGGGCTCCCCGATTCTACTGCCTCTGATGCTGGATCCCTATTACACAGCTGCCTCCTGTGACTCTTCTCTCCTGGGCTCTCCCCTGGTCTGGATGTCTGACTATGAGATTTTTTTTTTCTTTTGAGACAGGGTATTATTCTGTAGCCAAGATTGACCTGGAAATTAATATGTGGCCTTGTTTGCCGCAGTTTTTCTGCCTCAACTTCCCAAGTGCTGGGGTCATAGGAGTGAATGAACCACCATGCCCGACAGATATTCACTTTATTTTTTTAAGATTTATTTATTATGTATACAGAAGAGATGGTTATGAGCCACCATGAGGTTGCTGGGAATTGAACTCAGGACCTCTGGAAAGGCAGCCAGTGCTCTTAACCACTGAGCCATCTCTCCAGCCCCTAGACATTCACTCTCTAGTCGACTTGTTGAATCTCTGTGTAAGTGCCACTCCCTTGCTACCCCTACATACAAACCTCGCCCCCGAGAGTTCACCTAGTCACCAAGTGGTCTAGCTCCTACCTCTACCTTCTCGTCTTCTTTTGCAGTGCTAGGATCAAACCTAGGGGCTAACCAAGGCTAAGCAGTCTCCCCCATGGAGCTGGCTATACACCAAACTATTTGCTTACATGCATTGACTGTTAGCCTCTTGAGATGGTGTCTCATGTAGCCCAGGCTGGCCTTAAACTTGCTATGTAGCCAAGGATGATTTTGAAGTCCTGATCCTCCTGCCTCAGTTTCCTGAGTGTTGGTTACAGACTGTGTCACCACACCTGGTTCACGCGGTGCTAGAGATCAAGCCCAGGGCTTTGTGCATATTAGGGAAGCCCTCCACCAAATAAGCTACCTCCTCAGCCCCTAGAGTTTGTGTTTTAAGATAACAGATCAATAGAAAAACCAATTCAGATGGTGATAAGTGGTATGAAGAAAATTAAAGCAGGGTTACGATTTCACGAGTGTTCACTCACAACTACTTAAAGAGATGACGTCTGGATTGAAACCAAATGTTGCAGAAATGCCACTTGAATATATGAAATGGAAACCAATGTGAAGGTCCTGTGGCCAGACTGCGTTAAGAAATGGAAAGACACCCCCCCTCAAACAAAACAGAACAAAACAAAACAAAGCAGGGCGGTGGCGTGCCTTTAACCCCAGCACTCAGGAGGCAGAGGCAGATGGATCTCTGTGAGTTCGAGCTCAGCTTGGTCTACAGAGCGAGTTCCAGGACAGGCTCCAAAGCTACACAGAAAAACCCTGTCTCGAAAAACCAAAACAAAATTAGAAAAGAAACAGAATGCCATCTTGAGGTTACCCCTGGTCTCGTCCTCTAATAATCTCCTGCAGACTAAGTACTTAACTTTTATTCCTTAGTGTTCCTTGTCTCTCTCATATGTTCCCCCAGCCTCTCATTCCCTTGAATAAAACCAGACAGAACCTAAGGCCACAGTCTCTGGAGACTGCCACTAGAGGGAGCTCCTGAGTCCACAGGATGCAGTATTGGATTGTCTATACTAACGCGGAAGAGAACCATGGAAAGCCATCAGCTACTGTCTACCTTCTTCCACTAAAGCCGAGGCTCCTGGGGAGGGAACAGAAGGTCCTCTCGCCCATAGACCTTCACTCAAACGCTCTCCCTCTTACCCATAACCCCTCTTGATAACAAGCAGCAGAATACAGCTGCTCCGCTTCCTGGGCGCTTTCTTGACTCTCCTAAAGGCTTCACAGTGTTCTAATTTATTTATCAGGAAAACGCCAAGACAGAAACATGATAAATCCCAGTTTACACATGGGGAACTAACTCAGACATTTAAATAAACAAACAGGTAACTGTTTATTTAAATTGGCACACACCTTTAATCCATGTTTTCCTGCAGTTCCTAGAAAGCACTTTGTTATTCCTTCTTTTTTTAAGTTTTTATTATCATTTTTTAAATGTGTATTGGTGTTTTGCCTGCATGTAGGTCTGGGTTTCAGATCGCCAGGTACTGGAATTACAGATGGTTGTGAGCTGCCATGTGGTAGGAATTGAACCCTGGTCCTCTGGAAGAGCAGTCAGTGCTCCTGACCATCTCATAGAGCTGTCTCTCTATCCCTCGTCCCTCCTCTTTGTCTTCTCCTCTTCTCTCTCTCTCTCTCTCTCTCTCTCTCTCTCTCTCTCTCTCTCTCTCTCTTTCTCTCTCCTTTTGATGGGGTAGGTCTCTTCATGTTGCCCAGGTTGGCTTCAAACTCCAGAGCCCAAGCAATCCTCCCACGTAAGCCTTCCCAACAGCTAGGAGGACAACAAATGGGTAAGGCTGGCATAAGGAGCCGAGGGTGTGGCACAGTGCCTGTGTAGTGTGCAATAACCTGGACTTGACAACTCTGCTCCCGCCCCCAGCACTGCAAACCACAGCAAGACTGGTGTAGGACTGAACTGGAGTATCAGCTCTCTGATAAGCCACTTAGGACTTGGCTTTAGATAGTACACACTTCTTTACAGAACTTACCACCTGCTCCTATTATGTCTCCATGTTGGTTTCCCTTCTTATTACATAACTCTAAAGGGAAGTCTTTGCTCATCTGCCTCCCCCTGGGATCTAGCCACTTCTAGTTCACAGCAGGTGCTCCATGAATATGGAAGGAATGAATCTGAGCCGGGAGTGAAGCATGAGATGACAGCCTCAGCATGTGAGCGTGGGTCATTCAGCACAAGCTAGGAGAGGAAGAAATGCCTGGGAAAGGAAGCCTGGGTGCCATCTGAATTCTCAGGTAACCAAGGAACCTTCCATGCGTATACACCCAGGTCTACGCTCTTCCATTTTGTCTTCTCTTCCTATTCTTTGTAAAGCATATCCACCCTGGCCAGACGTGGTGACATAGACCTGCAAGGCTTGTCATTCCAAGGTTTAGGTGGGATACTGATAGCAGGATCCTGATTTTAAGATCAGCCTGGGCAACAAAGCAAGACCCTGTCTCAAATAAGAGCACCCATGCTTTTTATATCAGCTAAATTAAGAGGACAGGGAAGTAGAGGAATATGGCACTTGCACTGCTGCTGAGGGCGCTCTGGGCTGTGCATCCTGGACCATTTTGGGAGCTCCGGATGCTTCTGCAGTCCTCTGTGGGCATTAGCAGTCCAGGGTCCATCCATATTCACAGAACTAGCAAATGATGCCCGTGGAAAGCCCCAGCCTTTTAGATAGGATCTTTTGGATGGCAACTCCCCAAACAGGTACGGGATTGAAGCTAACAGGGGTAGGAGAAGAGGCCCTACGACCTTATTAAGTTAAGAACAATTTAGATATTTGTCCTGAATATGGTCACTGGAAGCAGAAACATGTTCTCTGTGGCTGTTACTCTGAGAAAGTGCTCCAGGAAGCTACAAAGAAGGAATGGGTTTGGTGGATCACACCTTTAATCCTAGCACTCAAGAAACAGAAGCAAGTGAACTCTGAATTCAAGGCCAGCCTGGCCTACAGCGTGAGACCCTGTCTCAAAATGAAAACAAGAAGAATGCTGTGGAACAATCTCTGTACACTGTAAATATGTATTACTCTCATTGGTTAATAAAGAAGCTGATTTGGCCAATAGCCAGGCAGAATAGAGCCAGGTGGGAAATCCAAGCAGAGAGACAGAAAGAAGGCAGAGTCAGGGAGATGCCAGAAGCCATGGAAGCAAAATGTGATATAACAAGTCACAAATCTCATGGTAAAATATAGAACAATAGAAATGGGTTAATTTAAGATGTAAGAGCTAGTTAATAATAAGCCTGAGTTAATAGGCCAAAGAGTTTGGTATTAAGCCTCTGAGTATTTGTTCAGGAACTGGCAGGCAGGAAAGAAACTTCCAGCTACAGGCTTCTACATACAGCACAGCTGCACCTGTACGTACATGTGTGCACCTGCAGACCAGAACACACAAGATAAAAACAGTAGATTAACAGTGGTGGCCCATGCCTTTAATCCAAGCACTTGGGAGACAGAAACAGTCACATCTCTGAGTCTGAGGTCAGTCTGGTCTATAGAGAGAGTTCCAGGGCAGCCAAGGCTATAAAGAGAAACTTTGTCTCAAAAAATCAAAAAATATAGTTGATTATAATGATTCATACTGGAATCTGCCTGCTTCTGTCTCCAAAGTTGCTGGGATTGAAGATGTGTGCTACCACTGCCCTGCCAAAATGAACCATTTTAAGAATCCTACCATAGACACTGTACACAGGAGAAACACCATCAGAACAAGATCAGGGCAAGAGGATTGTTGAATGACACCAGAAGAAGCCACCCCATTTCACCCAGAATTGACACTAAAAATGTTAAAAGGGGGCTGGAGAGATAGCTCAGCAGTTAAGAGCATTGCCTGCTCTTCTGAAGGTCCTGAGTTCAATTCCAAGCAACCACATGGTGGCTCACAACCATCTGTAATGAGGTCTGGTGCCCTCTTCTGGACTACAGGCATACATGCAGACAGAATAATGTATACATGATAAAATAAATAAATATTAAAAAAAAACAATAAAAATGTTAAAAGGACATTCCACAGTAAGACGATCTCTAAAATCAAGAGTATTTCTTTTCATGTTTATGCCTGTTTTCACATTATCAATATAGTTTAAACTAGACTTTATTAGACATTGACTTTAAGTGAGATAATATGAAGAGTGTATAATGAATAAACTCATCATATTTATATAAAAATCATAAAAAAATAAAAAGAGAAAAAAGAACTTTTCCACAGTTGAGATAAAACACAGACATTAGGAGAAACTTGATGGGGCTGGAGAGATGACTCAGTGGTTAAGAGCACTGCCTGGTCTTCTAGAGGACCCGGGTTCAATTCCCAGCACTCACATGGCAGCTCACAACTGTCTGTATCTCTGGCTCCGGGAGATCTGACACTCTCACCCAGAGAGAGGGAGAGGGAGAAACTTGAGGCAGACAGAACACTGGGTGGACACAGGCCAAGAACAAGGAGCAGGTGGCTGAACCTGAGGGTCCCTAGCCAGGTGACTGAACCATACACCATCATACCTTGGCCAGCTGCAGTAGAACCCCACACTCGGCTGGAGTTAGCAGTCCATCTAACACGGCTCTCTCCGACCCATTCAGCTGCTGGGCATCCTGGGTGAGGGTCACACCCTCCAGGAGAAGGACATCTACAGGGGGAAATGGGGGCAGAGCTCACCAGTGCTCATTTGAAGGGCAGTAGCTGGCAGATTTCAGGTCCTCACTTCTGCCTCCTGATGTTCCCCATCCTGCCTTTCTACCTCTTCATCCCCCCCCACCCCGCGCCCCCACTCCCAGCTCTTGCCCCCTAACTCCTCACATACTAAGGAACTCACCCTTCCAGTAAGGCAAGGACTTGGACTGTGGAGGCTCCTGGTCCCAAGGCCTCTTCTCTTGATCCTCTCTCAGGGGTGAGAGACAAACTCAGTCATCACAGCGCAGACCCATCCTGTCACCTCCCAGCCCGGGCCAACTGGCCCCCGCCACAGGCCCCCACCTACCTGAGCTTCTCTCTCAGAGCCTCGGGGATGAGAGCTTCTGGGGTCCAAGAATCCTGTGAGCGTCAAGAACAGGGCCATCACCCTCGTGCCTAGCTCCTGGGATTCCTGACTTTAGAATCTTCCAGAGAGAAAGGCAAAGTGAGAAAGGCCTGGACCCAGTGCCAGGACCACCTCACACATGATAGTGTCCAGTGCCTTGAGTTTTAGACCAGACTGTAATAAACGACTTCCATCACGCTTACTGTTTGCCAAGTGCTAAAAGTTTTATACTTGCAGTGAGATTTTGTGGATTAGAGTTCGTAATAGCTCATAAATTCTGATGGAACAGGTAGTTCTGATGCGCTCTTTCCCAGGGGAGGGTTCTGAGACACAGGAAGGTCGAAGAGGAGGGTGGACTTCACACCCTCTTAAGTGGCAGAGTAGGGTTTAGACCAGGTTTACAACCCTCACTTTTATTCAGCGGCTCTCTGTGAGGCAGATTTGACTCCCCAGGGGACACTAGACAAAGTCTGGAAACTACTAGGCTATCAATGTACTGTTGACACCTACTAGGAAAAGGTCAGGACAACAGCTAAAGACCCATCAAATGTGAGGACAGCCCCATTCGCTCCTCCAACAAAGAACTTTGGGTCCAAAATGTTTTCTTTCTTTCTTTTTTTTCAATGCTGAAGCTAGAACCCTGGGCATTTATGTGTGCTGGGCAAGCACTCACCACTAAGTCATCCAGGTCCTCAAAAAGTCAATAAAAACTACTGCATTATCTTAAGTACTGGCTCCATAATGTTGGGACTGGACTTGGGCTCATGACTAAAGGAGGGTAATGGATTCAGGAGCTATGATGCTTTCTGTACTTTTTTTTTTTTTTAGCAGATGGCATAGCTTCAACAACAGGACTGTGGAACATGTTTGATCTTTACAGTTTACAGGTAAAGAAACCAGGCAACCAGAGGATATTTGTGGCAGAGAGCCTGCTTCTTAGCCATGCGTGATCCCATGACCTTTTTAACTGTACACACACCGTTCAGGTTCCTGGGAACCTGAGATGCCAGAGTTCTGTAAGTCTGCGGGCTGTGGGCAAGCAGGACACTGCTGCTGACTGCAGTGGCCTGTGAACGTCCAGCATCTCTGTGCCTCGCCCTGGGGAGAGGACCACAGCTCCTTACCGGGTCCTTGAAGCTGGTGCCCAGGTGTTCCATGGCATAATAGAGTTGTCTCTTCTCCCCGAGAGATCGAAGGATGAAGCGCTGGATATCCTGAGCAGGGTAGACAGGTGAATGGAGATGTAAGGAGAAGAGAAGGGAAAGCTGAGAACAGGCCAGCCGGGTCTGAGGGGACGTTTGCAAGCTATAGAGAGATC